GTTGGTTTAATTATTTAGTTTCTCTCTTGTCTCAGAGACTGTCATTCCATGGGGAATTTTGTCTTGAAGAAAAACCAAATGTTGGCATTTTTCTGACAGATCAGGAAATCATTTAATTCTGACAGCTCCTGGACATGTAGAAATTGGACTCTCCAGTCCTTTGTGACTCATGTGTCCACAAATTTCTATTTATGTAATCCTTGTTAATCCTTTGGGATGGAGAGCTTTATTTTTATCCCCAAGTAATCACAGATGTAGTCCAGTTCTTAACAAAGCTCCTGACTTCAAGGGAAATATGATAAAGCCACCTACAAGAAATAAATACCAACCTTGAACAAGGTAATGAAGAACCCTGACTTCATCACTCTCAAAACTTGACAGCCTGACTCATATGTGGGCAGGAGAATTTTCCTGAAACCTTTAGGGACCTTTACTGTTTGTTCTTTGGTAGTCATTATGTATCTTGGTATATGTGCACAAATAGAAATCTCAGTTCCTAGCAAAATTGTTTCCCCTGATGTCCTTTAAAGGGTCACAGCTTTACTGCCTTGTCTGCGAACAGAAAGAAATGTTGTTCCCTTTTCAAAAGGGATCTTTGTCTACTCTTGTGATCTCAAGGATGTTCCTGCTGAGGTAACTCAAGAGCATAAGGGTCACCCTTTGAACCTTCATCTACTGCAGCTGAATCCTCAAAGCTCATTTCTTTCTAATACTGATTTCTGTGATGTGTCATGGGTGTCATACTTTCTCTTTTCTTTCCTCTTCTAGCTATCTCCCTAGGGTACAGTTCCTATCCGGTGCAGTTCCTATCTGGTACAGTTCCTATCCCTCTCCATGTACACTCAAGTTCAGACTCCTATAAAGCAGAAGGAGAATCTGAAAGACAAAAGCTAGCTCATACCTTGTGTTTCTGTTAATTCCTCTCTACTGGTTAGATTACAGTACTGTGAAAATCCTTGGAAGGTCCCTGGTTTATAGACTGAGCACTTCCTGGACAATTCTGCAATCTTGTGCAATTTTAACACAATGGTCACGTGCCTCTGTAGCCCACCTTTGTGTACTTTTCCCCACTACATATTTAACTTAGGAACTGGGTTATGCTGCCACTTAGACTATGATGATAGAGTAGAAACAGTACTTTTTTTAGTACTTTATTGAAGACCTTTTTACCTCTTTAATAGTTGTGTTTTATTCCCTCCAGACTGAAAGTAACCCTATTTTGCATTCTTGTACATGCTCAACAGAGAGATTTAAAACTTCTTCTTCTGGTAGAAGTTGTGCCACTTCAGAAGTTGTGGTGAAAGCCTTTGAAGAGGTGCTAGGTGAGGAGCATTCAAATCTGGCTTCTGCTCTCATAAACATACACAGCTACTTTGGATACCGCCCTCAAGGGGCCATGGGCAGGCAGAGAGCTCCAAGAGCAGCATTGAGGTGCTGCTGTTGTCAGTGAATCCCAGAGCTGGAAGGGATTGGGGTGCTTGGATGGGCTGTGGTCCCATCCAGAGAAAGGATTCACAGGGGCTGCTGCCTTCCAGCTGAGAGGTCAAAGTGCAGTAGGAGGCCTTAAGTTCAAGTCTTGGTACACTTTAGATCTAGCCTTGCTTATTTGTCAAGCCAGCCTCTTGCAAGGTCTGCTTTTCCTTTCTTTCTCTCTTAGGTTCCTTACAAACTTCATGGTACTGAGGTCCATTTGGCTCAAAACTCTTTGATTTATGACAACCATCATGGGACTTTGAAAATGCTTGTTGGTTGTGCTGCCTCTGAGTGGCTGAAGTCTCCAACAGGTCTTCATATACTTGATGGAAGACCTTCTGGAAAGCTGATGGTGCTGCAGATAGGGATACAGCTGTAGGGTTGTTAACTGCTCTAAAAATGGTAAAATATAAAAATGAAAAGGAAATGAAAATTAGTTTTTCATTGCTCGGTTTTCAGAATTTTCCCTGATGTTGTGCCTTTGTGGTTGATTTGGTGGTTCTTGCAATTCCTTTGACTGCAAATTGTTTGATAGTTCTTTCACTCTTCTCTGCTACCTTTGTTTTTTTGAAAAGGCAAAATTGTTTAATTTTTGGATTCAGGGTTTACCACTTACCTTAACTAATTGCATCAAAAAATATGTGGTTGGAGTGGGACCAGATGGGTCCAGAGGAAAAAAAAATAACTGGCTATAAGATGGGGATGGCTGTTTTCAAGCAGTAAGTTTTTCATCCTAATGTCTGGTACTATTTTGCCTGACACCTTGAGGACAGGTATTAGTTTAAATACTTAGTGTAGTTTTGGGGGTTTTTTCCATATGTTGAATTGTTCCAGCTCATAAGTGTCAGAAGTAGTCTGTACAAGGAAACTGCTGCGAAAATACATTGTGCCATTTTTTCTGCATGTGGATTGTGTTGTGAGGGTGAGCAGAGGGGACTATCCATAATTCCTTTGACATAATTAATCCTATGCAAGGTAAATTCTTACTGTTTCTCTTCCCCCTTTCAACAGTGTATTAGTTATAGAAATAGTCAGTTGGTAGCTGCCATGTAAAAGTGTCATGGTTTATATTATGCTGTGCAAGATTAGATTAGCATATAAATACCATAAAACAAGTAATAGTATTGTTCTGCTGCTTGGTTGCTGTAGCAAACAATTCTGGGGGCTGCATTTTATGGCTTAGGCATTTGAAGTGGGAGAACAGGGGGACATACATGTTCCATTGTGGTTTCCAGACCACAGTATAATCAGGGTTCGGGTGAGAACAAAATCGGTCACGGTACAAACTTTTATTGAAAACTTGGGGACATTTAAAGACTCAGTTACAGTGCAACTGGAAGAACAACTTTAACATGAGGTTGGGAAAAAAAGCATAAAAGGACTGACCTCCTAAATCCCCTGCATCCCAATCTCCCTTGCCCTTATTCAACATACCTAAACAAGCGTATAGCTTTTTTTTTTTTAAACCTCCTTTTTTCCTGCCTCCCAGATCATGAGTTAAAGAATTTATTTCGCTGAGGGAAAGCAAATCAGAGGTTATACAAAATTGCACTGAAGCAATTTTCCATAAACTTTGCCTAATGATTTTCAGAATGCTGTTCGCTGAACTTTTGACCTCTGCAATGTTATATAACTGCTATTACCAATTTTTCGCTTTGAGGGAAAGTATTTAAATTACACGCATGTTTTTGATGTGAAATCCTCATTTTCTGTGTGACGAGAAAGTAACCGAGGAACAACTATTTATTTTTTCTCAGCATTACGCCTGAATTTATAGACATTTGTTTCTACCTTTTTTCCCAATCATTCACCAGCCTGAAAGATCCCACAATTTTTCCTCATGCAAATGTTTCACATACTTCTGAGGATTCTCACCAGCTTCCTTTTACCCCTCTTTATAATGAACTCTGCGCCTTTCCAAACCTCTCTCTCTGGCAGTTGCCAGAGTTTCACTCTGTGTTAAAAGTGCAATGAGATTTGGATTTCATGTTCTAGCTTGAGGTTTCCCAGGTTTTACTGTTTTACTGATAATGATGAGCACTGTCTCTCTTCTGGCAGCTGTGGAGTACAGTTCTGATGTTTGTCGAAGGACTCACTGCAGTGACTGTTCTGTTCCCCACTGGAGGCAGATTCCGAGTTCCTTTCAGAGTGCGTGTTCACGTGCCGATGTGTTTTCCCAATGTGTGCTGGCCTGCATTTGTCAGCATTAATTTCTTCTGCCTTTCCTGTTCCACAGTCATTTACAAGGATTTAATGATGAATCATTGATGATGATGAAGTAACTCCTGGTGGTCAGTAGCTTTGTGCAGAAGATGAATGTAACCAGATCTCTTCCAGATTTTCTATAAATGAAGGTTCTGTGCAAAGGGATCGTATGAAAAGAGTTGGAAAATGATGTTGATTTTTAAATATTCATAAGTGTGTAGTTGGCTCTTTTTCATCTTTTTTTTTCTCTGTTCATTCACACTTATGTAGTGACCTAAGGCTGACTCTGATGGCTGGTTGAGATCTAGTGTGTTTATCTTTTTCTTGGATAGTAAAGCATACAGCCTATTCTACAGGTGGCAAGTATTTGGGGAAGGTAGCAGCTCTCAATAGGAAGGAAAGCACGGTTTGCCTTCTGCCTAGTTTCCCTTAGTCCTGTTGCAACTACTGAAGAGCATCATTTGCTTCCCAGGATTTAAAGAGGAGTCTATTTTGTCTTCCAATAAATGAAGTTGAAGGACACCATCAGGGCTTACTTGGAGACGCTGGAAGATAGTCCCTGAATGAGGAGAAAGAAATGTTTTAACTGTTGGTTATTGAGCAATGGCCAGGGCAACTTAAAAGATTAATTTCTCTTAGAATGTATTAGGATTTTCTGTATATTGTGTGTTTAAAAAATGTGTGAAAACTGGTGGAAGGACAGATGCATATCACTACAGGCTGGATACACAAGACACTTTTCCTGTAAAGCCAAGGTACCTGAGAACTCTGGGCATGTAGCATCAGACTATATGGCTTACAAAATCCTTCAAAACTTAGGAAGAAGTGGATTACTGATTTTCATACAGATTTCTGAACTAGATGTACTTGAAAATGCATGCTGGATTTATAGGAGTAATAAATTCCAGCAGAACTTGAAACTGTAGAACTTTCTTGTTTGTAAATGGTGAGGTAAATGGATGGGCCATCTGTGGGTAGTAGTTAATGTGATGTAAATCAACTAGCATGCAATTTAATAAAAAAAAAAAGTTTGTTTTTTTTTTTCTCTGGAAGTATGAATGCTGCATGAGCTTCCTTGTTCACTTGTCTCTACAGATTCCCTTCTCTGAGACTGAGCAAATAATGAGTAGAGCTGTTCTGTGGTACTGTTGCTCTCTTATGGAAAAACAGAAGGAAAAACCTGAAAGTGCTACAAAACGCATTTTTATCTTCACTGTTTCATCCAACTTGTGAAATTGGTTTAAAATTCCTTAAACTCTCTTACTTGGTTAATAATGTGTTTTCCAGCACACTAACATTTGCTGTGTTTAAACCTTTGCCAGGACGGGAGCAGTTCCATGGCCTCGGGTCTATGTACTGCAGAGGAGCGGCTGCTGTGATCCTCACGTACGACGTGAACAGCCTCCAAAGCCTGACGGAGCTGGAAGAAAGATTCTTGGCTCTGACAGACAGTGCAAGTGCTGACTGCATTTTTGCTATTGTTGGAAATAAAGTTGACCTCAGTGATGACTGTACTTCACCACCGGATGAAAACAGACCTGAGAAGTCTGGTGCCAGCTGTGGCTCAAAGGTGCGGAAACAAGTCCGTGCAGAGGATGCAATTGCGCTCTATAAAAAGATACTGAAATACAAAATGCTAGATGAGAAGGATGTTCCAGCTGCTGAGAAAATGTGTTTTGAGACCAGTGCAAAGACAGGATACAAGGTGGACTACCTGTTTGAAACTGTGTTTGACATGGTAGTCCCAATAATCGTACGGCAGAAAGCTGAGGGGCCACCACAAACCGTAGACATCACGGACTACAAGCCAGCCAAAAGGACAAAGTCAGGTTGTTGTGCCTGAACCATCTATGTGACATGGAAAAGGGGAGGGATTTTTCACTCCAGCAAAATGAGGAATAAGAACTGCTTGCAGTTGACCAGAAAGGAAAAGTCAAGGAATAAATAGACTAAAATGGTGTATGCAAAAAAAAAAAAAAAAAAAAAAAAAAAAAACCAAAAAGAGAGAGAGAAACAAATAAATCTTCTGACCATTAAAGGCTTCTGGGAAGCTCTGTGTATTAAAAAAAATGGGAATGCAAGTGAAATTATAGAGTAAGACTTGCCAGTTTCCATGGGCTCTGAAGACAAGTGATGTGTTATTAGAATGGGTAGCGACAATCCTTTGGACAGATTTGAAACATTCTGATTTTTAGTGACTTGCCATTTCATGTTGCATGTAAATGATCTGTTTGTGTACTCTTGAAAACTTTCATATTATGATCTTCTTTTCCCTTATGATTCTAACTTTGGAAGACTGAACATATAGTACTTTTTTATTCTTAAGGAAAAAAAGAAAATCCAGGTATATTTATATTTGTAGCTAATAAGTCAAATGCAATCTTTTTATGACAGACATGACCGCATATGATTCAGAAGCTGAACTATTAAAATCACTGTGGATATGTACTGTTCATTTGGAGACTTTATTAATGAGAATTCTTCTTCCATAGTGGGCTTTCATGTGTTAACAAGCAGTATCTCAGCTCTTGCTGTTCTAATTGCAAGTTGCAGGAGGAAGTTTTTTTCTTTCCTTCCATTTCCCCCTTGTAATTATTTTTAATATAGGTGGATTTTGGGGAAGAAATCAACATTATTTTGTTTGTATTTTTGTAAAAACCTCTTTTTGGTGCCTTTAGGGGTATCATTGTGTTCAGTATGTGTTCTGTCTCCTTTCCCACTCCTTAGTTTTTCTCAGGCAGAGCTGCAGCTTTGATTTTTATCAGCTGTGCATGACATTACTACCTGGAGTAGTAATTACCTCTACCTGGAGGGGAGTGAAGACTGGTGTTTTCTGATGTGAAACAGGCTAATGCAGGAGGAAGGGAAGAAACTGCCTTTTGTGGAGTAAAAGGCCCATGAAGGAGCAATAATGAGGTACAGGTTTCCCTCCTGACCTGTAAAAAGGTGTGGCTAACACTTAATACAGCTCCTGGAGTTTCCCAACCCTCTCAGCTACAAAGAATGCACATAGTGACCCAGGAGCTCACACTGAACTGAGGCAGAGTGAAGAACTTCTAGTTTTTAAACACACCCTGAGACCACCCCCTCCCCCACAATTTCTCCCAAAAAACCAGCCAACCACTCAACCCCAAGGATGCAGCCTGCATATTTTCAGTTTTGTGAGCTCCTGTGTGGGGACTTCATCTTCCTTTGGGTGCCTCTGGTACAATTTTCTAAAACTAAGGGTTGGTGGTTCTTACACTTTGTCATTGCCTCTCTCTGTCCCACTCAAATCACAGTTGTTCCATACATAGGGAGAAAATTCCTATACAAATAATAAATTTTTTCTAAATAGATTTAAAACACTTTTTTTTTTTTTTGGACATATATTCTATTGAGCAAATTGCTGCAGAGCAGTAGCTTTATTTTCTGCTTTCAAGTTAATTCATAGTACACATGTAGTGGGGAAGAATGGCTTGAGAGAGAAACCACTCAGCATTAAATAATATAATCATGGGTTTGGGTTGGAAGGGACCTTTAAATGCCATCTAGTCCACTTCCCCATGCTTTGAGCAGTTAGGTCTTCAATTTGATCAGGTTGCTCTGTCCAATCAAAACTAGACTATTTCCACGGATGGGGCATCTACAGGTGCAACACCTGTTGCAGTGTTTTACCAACCTCATTGTCAAAATGTCTTCCTTATATCTAGTCTGCACCTGCTCTTTTGTGGTTTAAAATCATTAACCCTTTTCCTATTGCTACAGGCCCTACTAAGGGTTGTAATCTTTTGGGTTTGCCGGTGGCTTGCAGACACCTACCAGACTGTCAGAGACTAAACAGCACCTGAGCTGTGGTATTTTAAAATGTGTATAATTAGAAACCTTCTAGCCATTATCAAAATTCCAGGGTCAGTATGTAGTCTTCCCTCAGGACTGGGAAGAGACAAACAGGTTGCACTCTGTTTTGTTCGTGACCAAAGGGTTCTGCAGACACACCTGTGAGAAGTCCAGCCCTGGACTTCTGCCCTGTCAACCTTTTCTGTTGACAGCTGAACCTGCAGCACACACTGATTGCAAGGTCAGGCATTTTGGGAGATGACTGGGAGATGTACATCTGGAAGGCGCAGAATAGGAAAAATATTTTTAAATTTGGCATCCAACACTTCTTAAGGTGTTAAATATTTGCAATTCAGTTGCACCAGCATTTGATTCATATGAGATCTTAAGTAATTCTTACAGTCTTTCTAAAAGCTTCAACTTGGGTGTTTTCACCACATGAGATGACACAGGAACCAGTCTTGTGTGCTGCACTCTTGCCCTTAAGTCTACACTTGTCTGGTATGTTGTTCTTGTTTTTTTTTAGTGTTGCTGGCTATTGTTCCTTGAGAAATTTCTGGGTTATGATGGGTTGACACTGTACCAGCCTTTGTGAGATCATGGGATTACAGAACAAAACCTGGGAAGTAGTTGGGTAATACATGGGAGCTGTTGAAGAGAGGTCACTTGTCTGCAGCTGGGCCTGTTGTGATGATGCTGAAGCCAAGGGACATCCTCCCTGCCAGGACTAGTGGAGGTGGTTGAAAGCGTGGACTAAGGACTCTGCCTGCCATGCCAGGGAGGAGAAACTCATTTGACAAGCATTTATTCCCCCTGCTCCTTTCCCTGTGGATTATGTGAAGTGATGATATAGTGAAATAAAAGAGGTGCTGTTTTTGGCCATGCTGGGTGAATGTGACCTGCAGGCCAGCCAGTGCCCGAGGTGATGGCTGAGCCAGGCTGACCATGGGGGAGGATCCATCCTGCTCTCTGCCCCTCACAGACATTTATGGTGCAAAATGGAGGTTGCCATGGGCCCTTGACAACCCCAACAAGGCTTCAAGTAAGTCACAAAAGAACCTCTTCTGCCAGTGCCTATAGGGCTGGCAAAGCTTCTGAGCCTCTTAGCTGCATCCTTGCCCACATCGTGGTGGGAAGCACTCCTGCCTGTTTCTGCTACTCTGTAGTGATTCATGGGGTGCTGTGATGTTGCTTCTTTCCCTTGTTCAGTCGGGTTTAACTGCTGTGTGCAGAACAACTGCAGGGCCATGTCCCCACTCCCCCTCAGCGGGTGGCCGTGCCTGGGGGTGCCACTGGTCCCCATGTGGCTGCTGGGCAGCTGCTGCCTGCACTTGGGTGCTCTTGGCATATTGGCAGTCATCCCTCAGCCTCTCCTCTGGCAACAATCTCACACCTCCTGTGCCAAGGCCATGTTTACTGCTTGCTGTTTGTTAATTTTCTATTTCTGGCAGCCATGGACAAGCAGAGTCATATAGGGTGTGAACAGACTCTGCTCTTTTGGTCAATATGCTCCGAGGGAATAATTTGGGTCAACTCACATCACTATGTTGACTTCACTTATATCTTCACTTCTAGTAGTGTTAATACAGTAATGCACTGTTACCTATAGAAGGGGAGTATGATCTCATTTATCTTCTCCAGGCTTGGCAGCATGTTACACTTCAGCATGTTTTCAAACAGGTAAGTGTAGGAAGCATACACCATGCTTCGAAATGGAAGATGTGGTCAAACCAAGGCAAAACATTTGTGATTTTTTTTTTTTACATCCTAGGCTGGGCACTCTAGTTCAGTAAAAGTATGGGTTTATTTTGCTGTAGCTGAGATTTTTCCTGTAGAAAGGTATTTTAGCTTCTTGAAAGTGGGCTCTACAACCATAACTGTGGAATGGTTTGGGTTGGAAGGGATCTTCAAGAATCATCTAGTTCCAACCCTCTGGCCATGGGCAGGGACATCTGCTAGCCACTCAACCAGGCTGCTCAAAGCCCCATCTAGCCTGGTCTTGAACGCTTGGGGATGGGACAACCACAGCTTTTCTGGGCAATCTACTCCAGTGCCTCACCACCCTCACAGTAAAAAAATGTCCTCCTTCTGTCAAATCCAAACCAACCCTCTTTCAGTTCAGAACTGCTACCTCTTGCCCTGTACACTACAGGTCTTGTTGAGTCTCCTTTAGGTACTTTGAGGCTGCTATAAGATCTCCCCAGAGTCTTTTTCAGCTGAACAACTCCAACCGTCAGCCTGTCTTCATAGGAGAGGAGGTAAACCTGCAGCTAAGAGGCAGTTTGACAAGTCAGTGTCCTTCTGTGCAGTGCTCTGGATGAGCTCACCAGGTGAAATCCTCTGTCTGCTGAGTGTTCCACGTGTGTGCGCATGCAGGAGCTCCCTGCGCTCCTGTGAGCCGGGATTGCGCAGGCTCTGGAGGAGCACGGCTGTGGGTACGCGCACCTGAAGCACGTGATGCACACAAGGTACAGGAGCTCAAGCCTGCTTAGCACCCTGTGGGTTTTATGGCTGCTTTGTCTTTTCCCTGCACTATGCTGATGTGTTCCACTTTACACTGAGCTGAGACCACTCTGAACAAACTTGTTAAGATCAGCTTATTGAATCAGAGAAAATGAAGAGGCTAAGCAACTGCTGGTGGAAGAACCATGTGCTGAAGTTTTATGTGCAAGGGCAATGAGCTTTGTCGGAAGATTAGGCAATATATTAGCCATGAAAATCCAAATAGTTTGCTGCTGTTGTTGACATAATCCGTTTTTATAGATTTGTTTAACCTTCACTTGAGTTCTCTTGAAACACTGAATGTGCTGCATTGCTGTACAACTCACAAGGGATATTTATATGATCATTCCACAAGGACTGCTGTCTAGCAATATGTGGAAGAGGCAAGTTGTGTGTTCCTGGTTATTTGTTACTGCCATGTTTAAGAGAATTGGCAAATATGGAATAGATTTAGCTCATGTTGACTGCAGTGCTTTCAGTACTGAGTTTTATTTAACTGAAATAAATAATAGAGTGACAAGTTTGTTCAGGGGCTGCTTTTCAGAGCTAATGCAGGATCAGACAGCTCATTTAAAGCTCAGGTAATTTCTCTGTTTATGGCTGTATCTAATTATATGAGAAGCTAATCTAGGTCAGACAGTGTGCTAGGTAAGTGCCTGATGGCAGTCTGCTGGAAAGATGGCAGGGGACTTTTTACAAGGGCATGTAGGGCCAGGACAAGAAGGAATGTTTTCAAATTGAGAGTAGGTTTAGATTAGATATTAAGAAAAAAATCTTTACTGGGAAGGTGGTGATACACTGGAACTTGTTGCCCTGAGAAGCTGTGGGTGCCCCATCCCTGGAAGTGTTTAAGGTCAGGTTGGATGTCACTCTGAATAACCTGGTCTAGTGAAAGATCTCCCTGTCCATGGCAGGGGACTTGGAACAAAATTATTTTTATGGTCCCTTCCAATTCAACTCATTCTATGATTAACTTAATTTATATATATATATATATATTTTTTTGTGGAGGCAACTCTTGACAAGTCTGGTAAATGTTGGTTTCCTGAACATTGTAGAGCATGAATAATGGTTGTTTTAAACTGCAATGCCACAGTTTATTTGCTTTCATCATTCTAATAACAGAT